TTAATTATTTGCTTTGCTTAGTGGTTTTTTCCTTTGTGTATCTAAACTGTCTTTCAATATTTTTTGCAGGGTTGGTTTGGTGTTCATGAAGTTCTTCAGCTGTTCTTTGTCATGGAAGTATCGTATTGCACCATCTATTTTGAATGATAGTTTTACAGGATATATCAGTCTTGGTTGGAAATCATTTTGCTTTAGGATCTGGAATACTTCACTCCATGCTCTTCTTGACTTTATCGTTTGTGCTGAGAAGTCTGCTGTGATTCTGATAGGTTTTCCTTTATAAGTGATTTGTCTTTTCTCTCTGACAGCTTTTAATAATCTATTCTTGTGTTGGATTTCTGGGATGGTGACTATTATATGTCTGGGTGTAGTTTTATTTTGGTTATGACTGTTTGGAGTTCTATATGCTTCACTGATCCTGATGTCAGTTTCTGATCTCATGCTTGGGAAATTTTCAGCTATTACTTCTCTAAATATCCTCCTGACATCCTTCATGTTGTCTCCCTCTCTTTCATTAATCCCTATCATTCTTATGTTATTCTTCTTTGCATCGTCTTGCAGTTGTTGAATTGTTGTTTCCTGGTTCCTTGTTATTTTCAAAAGATCTTTCCTTTCCTGTTCACTAGCTGCAATCCTGTCTTCAAGGTCTGAAATTCTATCTTCACTTTCATTAAGGCGGTTTTTACAACTTTCAGTGGAGTTTTTTATTTCCTGTATATCTCTGTGCATCTGCATTATGTATTCTGTTTGTTTCTTATATTGCTCGTCTAGGGATTCTATCTTTTTGTTTAGTTCCTCCAATTTTTTATCTGTGTTTTCTTTAGATATATTTAGAATCTCTTTCATTTCTTTTATCATTTCTTCTTTTATCTGGGAGATTATTTCGAGTTTGAATTTCTTTAAAGCTTCCTGGAGTTGCTTGTCAATTTCAGTGGCTATTGTGTCCGATATATGAGGTGGATGGGATATATTTTCTTCTATATACATCGCTCCTAGGGTTTCTTGAGATGGGCTGGAGGTTTGAGGTTGTAATTTGGTCTTTCTTTTTGTCATTTTCCTATATTTCTGTGTTTCAAGTGTTATTTGAAAGCTTCCTCAGGATCTGTTGAAAATCCCCTTCTATGTTTGGAGCTACTGGGACTCTGGCGCCGCGCTACTCCAAGCCATTAGGCCTACAGAACCAGTGGCCCTCCTCTGCCTGCTCAGAACTCCGCAGTTCCAGACAAGCTGGGCCTCAGGGACACTGTGCGCCCACCTGCCCCTTGGAAGCTCCACAGTTCTTCAATCGCAGCCGGGTTAGGGTACTCACCACAGGCCGCAGTGCTTCAGGAACCTGTGGACCCTCCCTGGTTGCAGAGATATCCACAGTCCTCCAGACACGCAGAGAGGCCTGTGAGGGCACCCCAGATCTGCCCAGCTCCTCCTCTGCAGACCTATGGCCAGGCGCGGCAGCTAAACAGGCTGGGCTAGGCTGGTAGTGTGGGCCAGCCCACCTATCGGGAGCTCAGCAGGTCTCCAAATGAAGCCGGGAATGGGGAGGCTGATGTGGAAGCCTCAAACCCACCTCTCTCCTTCACTGCACCTGGAAGCCTGAGGGAACTCCAGCAGACTGGGCGCAGAAATCCAGAGTCCTCCAGACACGCAGAGAGGCCAGTGAGGGCACCCCAGATCTGCCCAGCTCCTCCTCTGCAGACCTATGGCCAGGCGCGGCAGCTAAACAGGCTGGGCTAAGCTGGTAGTGTGGGCCAGCCCACCTATCCGGAGCTCAGCAGGTCTCCCAATGAAGCCGGGAATGGGGAGGCTGATGTGGAAGCCTCAAACCCACCTCTCTCCTTCACTGCACCTGGAAGCCTGAGGGAACTCCAGCAGTCTGGGCGCAGAAATCCAGAGTCCTCCAGACACGCAGAGAGGCCAGTGAGGGCACCCCAGATCTGCCCAGCTCTTCCTCTGCAGACCTATGGCCAGGCGCGGCCTGTCTTTTTCTTTTTTATTGGTACAGGAACTCACGACCACACACTTGCAAGGCACTTATGCCACTGAGCTAAATCCCCAGCCCCCTGGATTGTGATTCTTGAAGAAATGAAAGCCCAGGATGGACAACAATTCCACCCCAGGGTTTTAGAAGCATCTTCACTAGACAGATTGCCTCCTGGTACCTAAAGCCTGCTTCTGCCTATTTCCCTTTTCTGAGCAAACCAACATCATTCTAACAGATTCTACGTCTGTTTAAAGCTATTCAATTCTACTTCTGTTTAAAGCTCTTAGTGTGCTAGAGAGTGAGTCCTGACTTACACCCATCCCTCCAAAAGGTGTACTGGCTCCGTGTCCTCTCCAGCAAGTGTGAGCAGCCTGTAAGAGAAGATAGCAGCTAAGGGTAAGCTCAGGGACAGGCAGACAGGGACCAGTCCTATTGGCTGTGTGATCAGTAGGTCTAGCAGATGAGCTGTCTCACTTCTCTGAGCCTCAGTTTCTCCATCTCTCCAATTAGAAGGGTATTCCTGTACACCTTAGAAGCAGTAATCAAAGGACAGTGCCTGCTATATTAGAGGCATCTAGTAAGTGGCAAGCATCCTGACACAAAGGTGTTTGACTGTGTCAAATGATGGGAACAATGGGTCCCTCCACCCAATACTGAATACTAAGTGCCAGAGGTAGGGGGTGGCCCCTGCATTGGACACTGGAGGTCTACAGTCAGCAGTGCTATGACAATCACTACTCTCATGAACCTCAGCCTGGTGAGAGACAATGAGTGACAACAGAGACAGAGGCACAGACCCATTCCAAACGGTCTTCTGTGTCACACAGGTAATGGGACCAATAGATATAACAAGGTGAAGAAAGAATATACTGTCAGGAAATATGGGGAAGATGTCCGAGTGCAGCAGCAGGGAAGGAGGATGTTTAGAGACGAGGGTGGCCTAAAAAACAGGGTGAAAAAAAAAAAAGAAACAGAGGGTGGGGAGTACAATGGATGGATAAAGGCAGGCAGATCTGAAGAGAATGCCAGGAGTCTCTACACAGAATTTTTAAAGGGAAGCCATTAAGAAAGGGTTGACACGATGTGCCTTATGAAATGCCTCATCAGCTCTGTGTGGGACTAAAATGAGCCAGCAGTTTAGGGGTGACATTAGGAGTTCTGGGAAGAAATGCTGAGCTGGCGGCAAAAGGAAGAAAGATACAGATGAAGGTCATATTTAGAAACAGAAAACAGAGAACACTGGACTCACTGGCACACTTGCCAAGGAAAGTAGATAGCACTGTGTCCAGTGTGAAGGAGAGAGAGACACACACAGACACTGGGGCCATGGACAGGCATGTCAGGCTGGACACAGTTTTCACAGAGGCTGGGTGGGGTGGGGGCATCAGCACAAAGAAAACGTGTAAATACACAGGAATGGGTAAACGGCCACCTTACCAACCTTATGCTAGTAAATAAAGTCTGCAACCATTCATATCCATGAATTCAACCAAGCAGAGGGCAGAAACATTCAATAACTGCGTATGTGCTGAACATGTGCATACTTTTCTCCTTGTTACTACTCCCTAAACAATACAGTGCAATAGCTATTCACATACCACTTAAATTGTGGTAGTTATTATAAGTCATCTAGAGATAACTTAAAGAATATGAGAAGATGTACCCATGTTATATGCAAGTATCAAGCCACTTTATATATGAGACTTCAGCATCTGCAGATTTTGATTAAGGGGGAACCTCCTGGAACCAATTCCCCAAGGTTACCAAGGGATACTGAACAGCCACTAGACTACACACCAAGATCAGTGGAAGCAGCCGTAGGATTCCCTATCCCTGTTCCTAAGCCTCCAGCTGCATCAGAGTTACCTGGAGGACTGGTCAAGTTCATGCTAGCACTGCCAGAGTTTCTGATTCTGCTGCAGGGCTGAAAATTTTCAATTTTTTTTTATCAGTACCAGGGATCGAACTCACAACGTGCTTGCAAGGCAGGCACTTATGCCGCTGAGCTAAATCCCCAGCCCCTTTACAATTTTTTTTTTTTTAAATTTCAATTTTTATGGAGTCTCTGGGGGAGGCTGACAATGGGGGACCTTATTTGGAGACCACTGCTGTACTAGAAAGAATAGGCACAGCCTATTCACAGTTCACACCATGCCCACAAACTATGGACCAGAGGCCCCACTTTCCTGGGTTTAATCAACCTCATGCTCCTGGAGAATTCAAAGGCAACTATAGGATGGGGTGTCATGAGGACACAGGCACCAAGCACTGGCATAATTCCAGAGTAAGTACCCCAAAGGCACTCAGCATTGGCTGAATGTGTAACTGTCATTCTTGACATGGAGCTGGAGCGAGGAAAGGAAAGGGGAGATGCTTAGAACTCTTGCCAGAGGGTTGGGAGCTCCTGAGCAGCAAAGCACTGGTCTGGAAATCTAGTCTTCTGGGCTAAGGAGGAGCTGCTCAGAAACCTTGGACAACAGCCAGGCTTTGAACACCTCTGCCAAGTGCCCTTTCCCTGGCACCAGTCATCTTTTGGGTTTGGAAACTGCAGTTTCCCAAATTCCATAAACATCTCCATCTCATACATCATTCTATTTCTTTTCAATAAGGTCAAAAGAGAGTGTGTAGCAAAATGAACTTTAACCACCTCCCTTTGGTCAGGCTTTTCGTGTAAAGATGTCCATAATCCTGCAGCCCTTCAGACATGGTACTCTTGTTACCTCTGTCACAAGCCTGTTCAGACAGGTAAATCTGACAAATGTCATTGCCCCAAAATATGGATGGCTGCCCATCCCATCAAAACCTTGTCACCATAATGAGACCCCATCCAGAACAGGGGATGGAACCCCGAGAACAGTGCTGGAGAAGCCCTTGGGGAGCAGGAGCCACTGGCACAGAGTCAGGGAGCAAGGGCTGGGGACCCGGCACTGAATCTGCACCTTTCTGTCAGGTGAGATAAGCCATCAGCCTTTGCCTACACTGCACAGGATAAGGGCTGTCCAGAGCAAGATGCATACCTTACCTTCTCATAGGGACAGTACTTGAACATCTTGATGGGGCTTGTGCAGATGAACACGTCAGTGCTGCCAAGAAGAGAAAAGACAGTGAGCCTGCAGTCCTGTAGCTACCACCATGCTCTCTTTCCCACATCTCCATACCCTTTTTGATTGAGCCCTGTCAGGATCTGAGTATCACATCTGCTGTGGGAAACTCACTACTCTGTCTCCATACCAGAGATGTTGAATTTCTGCCCCAACCAATGACCATGGGAAGCACAGGAAACTTGTGGCAATTTTTGCAGGGCCAGAACCAAACGGTTAGCAGACCTCAGATGCTCTCTAAAATTGAAACATGGAAATATAAATAGAAAGAAGCATTTGGTAACAAGTCCAGCATGACAAGAATACAGAGAGCCAGGCACAGAGGCACATGCCTGTACTCCTAGCACCAGCAGGATGAAGCTGGAGGATCACCAGGAATTCGAGGCCAGTTTGGACAACAGCAAATTTGAGGCCAGTGTGAACTACATAGCGAGACTCTGTCTCAAAAAAACCAAAATAAATAGATAAAATAAAAGGAGGCAGAGGACTAGGGGCCTAGTTCAGTGGTACAGTGCATGCTTAGCATGCCCAAGGCCTTGGGTTCCATCCACAACAACAAAAAAATTGGGGGGCATACACAGATCCTAGAGTTACTTAAGGACAAACTGATGTCCCATGAAAGGTAAAAAAGGCAGTAAATTAAAATCAATAATGAAGACTTCTAATACCACGTGCAAATTCTCTGGTCTCAGGTCAAACAGAAGAGCCTAGATCCCCTGCACTGAGCAGTGTGTGCCCCTCAAAACAGGTGCCGGCTCTGTGTGTGGTACGATACACCCTTCCCACAGTCCAGATTCCAAGACAAATCCACAGGGAAGCTGGCCCTGACCCAGAAGGGCTTCCTAGGTGCCTGCCTCTCTCTACCAGGGCCTAAATATCCCCAAAAGCTGAAGTTCACCTCCAACACTGGCCATCTCAGCTCATCAAACTGAGCTGCACACGTGTTTCCCCAACTCTCTCTGGCAAATTGGCCCCGAGTCCTGTGGAAGCCTGCCAGACCCCAGGGTGCTGCATGTACCCTCTCATTACCTGAGCTCTTCCCAGCCCTTGTACATCCTCTGCCGACCTGGCTGTGCCCTCACATCTACTATGTCCCTCCAGCTATCAGTGTTTGGCCCATAGTTGTTTTCAGCTGTCTCCACAGGGACTAGCCTTTGACTCTTCCCTGCTGTGGTCATCTACTATTGGCTGGTTATAGTCCCTCCCATCCCCCATTCCCTAGCTCAACACCATTCCCTCTTCCCCTGCTCTTGAACATCCTAGTGACATTACCCACATGCACACATGTGCACATATGCAGATCCAGCACATACTCTCTCAGTTCCTAACCCTCCTTACCTCCAAATATCCCCCTTTCCTTTTTGATCATCCCCAAAGCCTCTTCTCCTTCAGCACATGGAGCCTGGTCTCCCTGGCTGCCACCCATTACAAACACTGTAGCAACCTGCGCTCAGTTCTTCAGTCTTCTCAGCAGACACAAGGACTGAGGCACACCAGTTTTGTGTACACTCCCTCACCACAGGCTTGACATCCTGGATCTGCCCCACGCACACTTGGTGGCCCGTCTCTACAATCACTGTTTGTGTATCTTGCTCCACGGAGGGCTGTTTTGCCAGGCTCCGAAAGAACCCACTATCTAACTTCTCCCACCTCCACTCAAGCAACTGAAGGTAGCTGAAGACAAATAAAAAATCACATAATCTTTGAATCAGCTTTGCTGTGTGATCTCAAGATGGGGCCTAGTGATTGCATAGCAGGCTACTCTCTAGGGCTCTGGAGGTGCTCACCACAGGGTCCTACACACACACGCAGCTAGAACACGCCTTCCCTGCGCCTCACTTGTTGCTATGAGATATCCATGTTTCTCCTCACATGTCACCTGCCCTGCCTTACAGTTCTCTCCCATGCCACAACAGCCATCCCTCCTCTGGCTCAGCCTCCATGTACACTCTCCCCTCCATCTGCACCCATCTGCCCTCTCATCACGAGGATTTTTCCGTCCAAAACTCCCCCTCTCCTCCTGTTCCGTGCCTCCTCATTCTAGTATGTCCTGGTATCTCTTGTCTTATACTACCTACCGATAGTGCTCAACCGATGATGAGGTTACATCCTGATCGACCCACTGTGAGTTAAAAATGTCATAAGTACAAAATGCACTTAAATACACCTATGTTACTGAACATGAGAATATGGTTTCCACTGAATGGCTACCACTTTCACACCAGTCAAGGCAAAAATCATCAGTAGAAGCCAGGTGTGGTGCATGACTGTAGTCCCAGACTCTGGGAGGCTGACACGGGAGGATCATAAGTTCAAGCCCAGCATGAGCAACTTAATGACTTAGCAAGACGGTGTCTCAAACTTGTGATCAATCTTCCTGAGACTCAGAGTCCTAGGATTTAGATGTGTGCCACCATTCCCAGGTTCAAATCAATGATGTTAAAACTCCCCCCAAAGCAATGTGGCACTATTGACTGAATCCACAACCTTTGCAGTGAAATACAATTCTAATCCATCTTTTAGTTTTTATTTTGAGACAGGGTCTTGCTAAGTCATTAAGAAAGAACTGGGGATGTATCTCAGTTTTTCATTCAATCCCCAGAATTTAAAAACAAATCAACAAAACCCTAAGTCAGCAGCTATCTGCATAACACAAAACTGTGACCCTCATGTTACCATCACACCCCTGCTCCCTCCACAGGATAACACACTTCACAACTTCCTTTGCTGCAGACTCTATTTCTCACCATCTGTCCCTTTCTCAACCAACTCCCACTTGGAGTTGGTCCCTTCCTGACTTAGTCACTTTCCTTGTCACTGAGACACAATACCAGATACCCACAACTCTAAGGAAGAGAAGTTTATCTTGCTCACATTTTAGTGTACGCAGGAAGAAGAGATAGAAGGGACTGGGTGAGATACACCTTTCTAGACCTGCTCCTAGTGAAATGCCTCTTCCAATCAGGGTCCACCTGCCAACAGTACATTTAGCTATGGATTCACCAGTAGATTAACCCACTGATGAGTATAGCATCCCCATGATCCAATTACCTCCCCAATGACCCTTTGGGAGACACAGTAGATCTAAAATATAACACCCTCACTTCACAGGAATTGCTCACTCTCTCCGGGGACCCTCGCACACCGTGTGCACAGCACACCACACAGCACTCTCATCTTTCTCATCAGCATTTGGCCCTCTGCTCATATCTGTCCTCTATTCCCTAGCCTGGTCTCCTGATATCCACTCCCTTTCCAGCCTCTCAGGGTTGGTGCTGGGCTCTCTAAGGCTCTCCGTCTGTATGCCCCATCTAGGTGGCATTTTCCAGCCTGAGGCTTTAATGCTATCTATGTACAGACACCTCCAAACTTCTCCCCAGCACCAAGGAAAAATCCTTCATGGCCTTTGAATAGCTCCTTTTCAACGCTTCACCCGTCTTAAGCCCTGTGGTTCCAAAATGAACACTGAATTTCCCCCAATTCCAAGACCTGTCCCTTCCCTGATCTTCCTTCAGTTAATGTCATTAACTTGTTATATAATGGCACGTGCTTAACAACAACAAAAAAAAAACTAAAAATTACCATTTTTTTCTATCTTCTGCCTCCCAAATTACATCATCGTGAGGTCTCCTGTGTTCCACCAACTTCTCTTCATGCCATCACCCACCTCTGAGATTCTACAACTACCCACTTGTTCCCCAACTGCCAAGACTGGCCCCTCCATACCATTATCATCCCTGTGTGCAGACAGGCTTCCTTTTCTCTTCTCTTCTTTTTTCTTTCTTCCTGATATAGGATCTCACTATATTCCCCTCTGGCCTTGAACTCTAGACTCAAATAATCCTCCTGCCTCAACCTCCCAAGCAACTCAGACCACAAGTGCCTGCCATCATGTCTGGTTCAGACTGATTATCTTTAAACAACTTTACTGAGGTATAACTGACATGCAATAATGTATATGCATTAAGTAGTATATGTCATGGCACATGTACACACCCATGAAGCAGAGATCACCACAATCAAGACAATAATCACATCCACAACCTGAATGTAACCCCTGGGTAATCTCTCTCACGTGCCCCTCCTTCCCCCTCCCCAATCCTAGGCCCCAAGCAACCACCAATTTGTCTTCTACCACTGCAGACTAGATTGTATTTTTTAGAATTTTATACAAATGGGAACAGAATGTGTACTTTTAAATCATCTGACCTCTTTTATCCAATAAAATTACTGTTTAATCATTTTGTTAAATAAATGTAACAATTTGAGCAAACTGATTTTTTTAAGTTTTATTGAGCTATAATTCATACATCACATTTACCCATTTTGAGTACAAAACTAAATAAATTTTAGTATATTCACAGAGTTTTATAACCATCACAATCTAATTTTTAGACACTACTATCACTCCAAAAAGAAACTTGGGTTTTTTGGGGTTTTTTTGTTTTGTTTGTTTTTTGGGTGATTTTTTTGGTATCAAGAATTGAATCCAAGACCTTGCATTTGCCAAGCAGGTGCTTATGCCACTGAGCTATATTCCCAGCCTGAAACTTGTGTCTTGTAAGCAATCAATGCCTACTGCCCCTTCCTCCTCCCACTCTGGAAACAATCAAAGGTGCTTTCTGGTCCTAAGGATTTACCAACTCTGTATATCCATATAAATTAAATTGTACAATATATAACCTTCTGTGTCTCACTTCTTTCACTTAGCAAGGTGTTTTAAGGTTTATTACATTGTAACATGAATTAGAACTTCATTCCTTTTTATAAAGGAATAATATTCCTTTGCATGGATATTGGTTTATCTATGCATATGTTGATAGAAATGGAGTTGTTCCCACCTTTCAGTTATTATAAATAGCACTGCTGTCAACACTTGTGCACAACTTTTTGTGTGGGTATATATGTTTTTGTTTCTGTGGGTATTTACTAGGCTATGAGTATTTACTGGGCTTACTGGCTTATAGGGTAATTCTATGTTT